TGTTCTCTTCTACGTCTGAGATTCTATTTTCTGCTGCTTTTAACACTTCAAAGGGAGATTTTGACTTCCTGTATTGTAGCCTTCATCTCTAACAGGTCCATTCGATTCTTTTTTAAAGTGTGTAATTCCTCTTTTAGATCTGGCAAGAATTTCCTCACCTCCTGGAACTCGTCAGCTCCTCTCTCCTGCCTCTTCCGCAGTCCGTTGTCTCTCTTCTCTCCCATCTCTGTTAGCTTCGTCTTTATGAATACTCTAAATTCTTTATCAGACATTTCCATGACTTCCATTGAACTGTCTGTGGATGAAGAGGAGTTGTTCTTTTCCCTTGGAGGAGAGGCATTTTCTTGCTTTCCCATATTTCTGTGGCCCCGTGGTGATTTCCAGTCATCTGATGGATGGTGTGTTTCTTCCTCATTCTCGAAATTCAATCTGAGCGTTCAGGAACGTGCAGAAGGAGGGGATCTGGAATCTCTTTGCCATTTTGATCCCTTTGTGCAGCAGATTCAGTGGATATTGAGGAATATGTTAACCCTAACAGTATTTGGATGTTTGACTTGGTTCCCTTAGATCCGTCTAGAAACACAGAGAATGGAGACTGAGAAGGAGAATAATGAGATAAAAGAAAAAGGAAAGGAAACGGTGAGAGAGAGGGGGGAAAAAAGAAAAACAAAGATACAGAGAGAAATAGGAGGAATAAAAACCCAACCAAATAAAATTAAAAAAAAAAAACAAGCAAAAAATAAAAAACTGTGCAAAGCCACTAGTTCTCAGGAGCCATGAAGGAGTCTTTTTCTGAAGGCCTGCCCCTTGCCTCTGCTGGGTGGGAGGGGGAGAGGGGATTATTAGCAAGATAAAGGCGCCCCCACTCCCGAAAGCCAAGGGAATACTTTACCTTAAAAAAAATTTTTTTGAGAGATTTTTGCTATAGGGCGCATACGCTTGCCAGAATGACAGAGAGAGACAGAGAGACAGAAAGCGAAAAATCACCCCCCGGGGGCAGGCCACGCTGCAATCCTTCTCCTCCATTCTCCTCTCAGGATCTTAGGCACGCATGCACACGCTCCTGGCATGAGCTTAAGCCACCAGGTCCGAGACTCGAACCACGGTCAACTACATGGGAGTCCAGCAACATAGCCATTACGCCAACTGCTGGTCCCACTACCTTAAAAAATTTTTTAAAGGAAAAGTTACCAAAAAATGAGAAAAAAAATGAGAAGACAGAGGCAGAGAAAGACAGAGACAGAGACAGAGAGAAGGCTAGAGGGGCTCCCTACCACTCGAGTTTGTGGGCTAGAGGCTGAATTATCAGTAGAAAATCTTTATTTCTCCTTTTTTCTTGAAATCACTAGTTCTCAGGAGCCATGAAGGAGTCTTCTTCTGAAGGCTTGCCCCTTGCCTCTTGAAGTTTTTTTAAAGAAATATTTATTTTATCATTATTATGATTTTCCTATTTGTTACAGGGACTATGTGCCCACTAGAGAGAAACAGAGAGAGAGAGAGAAAGTGAGAAAGCAAGTCACCAGGTCTGGGATGTGAACCATGGCCGGTCATGTGGGAGTCCGGCGCCCTAACCACCATGCCGCCTGCTGGTCCCTGACAGATGATATTAAGAGACCTTAATCTGGGTACCAAGGTCCCCTCTGTTCTTGAACTCCTTACCCTTCTCTGTTCCTTTGAATCACTTCTTCTCTCCCCTCAGCCAGGAAAAATCAATTTCTCATTTTTATGTCTCATCCTTCCTCTGGCTGACCCAAGCATTTGTCTCTGCTTGAGACCGGTCATTCTCCTAGTGACCGAGGGCTGGAGGGATGGTCGTCAAAGCTGATGGCCTGCGAGGCTCTCTATGCCTAAGAAAGGGAGTCACAAAGCTGTCGGCGACCTAGAGGGCCACGCAGGCTTTATGTAGGGTGCTCAGCTTCTAATCCCTGTGCTCCTAACCCTAGTGCCACCCCGAACCGTATGCGGAACCCAGGGCAAAAGGACACCTCACGTGTGCCCCAGGCTCTCTCGCAAAGTGTCTTCCCACAGTTCAGACAGAGCAGAAAGAGGTAATAAAGTTCTGAAAACACCCAACCCCCAAGCCCACAGAACACTCAGGCCTGTGAGCAGCCCGGCATTGCCCACGGTATTTGCAAGCCATTGGCCTTGTCAACCTGCATCGATGTCCCCCAGCTGGGAATGCAAACCACAGGAGGACTGGAAACCGGGGTTCCTGTTGTGCAAGCCCCCAGGGTTGCAAAAAAGACAAACAGTGCCAGCCGGTCTCTATTTACATGTGGGACAGATGTTTTTTTTTTCTACCACGGATGTTTTTGCATTAAGCTCGATTCTTTAAAATATTTATCTTGATGACCATGTTTTCTGGGTGCCTTCCCCTTAAATTTTGTGCCAGAGATAAGTGAAGTCCTACTGGCCCACCATCTTCTCCGGGTGGGCACTCACACAGAGAGTGCCGCGTGCTCTCTGAGCCATTCCGCCTCGGGGTGGGACGCGGGACAAGGGCGCTCTGGCGCCGGTGGCCTGTATATGGGGATGCCGTTCACTAATATCATTGCCGGGGCAGAGACAGAGAGAAGGCTAGAGGGGCTCCCTACCACTCGAGTTTGTGGGCTAGAGGCTGAATTATCAGTAGAAAATCTTTATTTCTCCTTTTTTCTTGAAATCACTAGTTCTCAGGAGCCATGAAGGAGTCTTCTTCTGAAGGCTTGCCCCTTGCCTCTTGAAGTTTTTTTAAAGAAATATTTATTTTATCATTATTATGATTTTCCTATTTGTTACAGGGACTATGTGCCCACTAGAGAGAAACAGAGAGAGAGAGAGAAAGTGAGAAAGCAAGTCACCAGGTCTGGGATGTGAACCATGGCCGGTCATGTGGGAGTCCGGCGCCCTAACCACCATGCCGCCTGCTGGTCCCTGACAGATGATATTAAGAGACCTTAATCTGGGTACCAAGGTCCCCTCTGTTCTTGAACTCCTTACCCTTCTCTGTTCCTTTGAATCACTTCTTCTCTCCCCTCAGCCAGGAAAAATCAATTTCTCATTTTTATGTCTCATCCTTCCTCTGGCTGACCCAAGCATTTGTCTCTGCTTGAGACCGGTCATTCTCCTAGTGACCGAGGGCTGGAGGGATGGTCGTCAAAGCTGATGGCCTGCGAGGCTCTCTATGCCTAAGAAAGGGAGTCACAAAGCTGTCGGCGACCTAGAGGGCCACGCAGGCTTTATGTAGGGTGCTCAGCTTCTAATCCCTGTGCTCCTAACCCTAGTGCCACCCCGAACCGTATGCGGAACCCAGGGCAAAAGGACACCTCACGTGTGCCCCAGGCTCTCTCGCAAAGTGTCTTCCCACAGTTCAGACAGAGCAGAAAGAGGTAATAAAGTTCTGAAAACACCCAACCCCCAAGCCCACAGAACACTCAGGCCTGTGAGCAGCCCGGCATTGCCCACGGTATTTGCAAGCCATTGGCCTTGTCAACCTGCATCGATGTCCCCCAGCTGGGAATGCAAACCACAGGAGGACTGGAAACCGGGGTTCCTGTTGTGCAAGCCCCCAGGGTTGCAAAACAGACAAACAGTGCCAGCCGGTCTCTATTTACATGTGGGACAGATGTTTTTTTTTTTCTACCACGGATGTTTTTGCATTAAGCTCGATTCTTTAAAATATTTATCTTGATGACCATGTTTACTGGGTGCCTTCCCCTTAAATTTTGTGCCGGAGATAAGTGAAGTCCTACTGGCCCGCCATCCCCTCCGGGTGGGCACTCACACAGAGAGTGGCGCGTGCTCTCTGAGCCATTCCGCCTCGGCGTGGGACGCGGGACAAGGGCGCTCTGGCCCCGGTGGCCTGAATATGGGGATGCCGTTCACTAACATCATTGCCGGGGGGCTGGAGGTGCGCAGCGGCAAAACCATACACCCCTCCAGGCCAGCCCACCCACAGGGGAAGGTCCCAGATCCAGTCCAGAGAGCGAGTGTGGCGGTGTGTGCTTGATAGGGGCTGGCTAGTGCTGGGCGTGGCTCCGGCCTCAAAACCCAGCTGGGGTGCCTGCCTCTGCCTCTCTCTTACTCATATATGAGATAAGTAATCAGGTTTTATGGTCTGGGGGTTATGGGAGCCAAACCCCACGCGGCCAACTGAGGTTGGATTCCTGTCGGTCATAAGGAAAACACGCTGGGCACGTGTATGTGAGTGCCCGAAATTCTGACGGGGGGAGAGATGGAGGAGAAGAGATTGTGGGGTGACCACACTCCACGGGGTGTTGCTTTCTCCTCTCCTTCTCTCTCTGTGTCTGGTAAGCACATGTGCCCTCTGGGGAAAAAATAGAGATAGGGACCAGCAGTTGGCATAATGGCTATGTCACTGGAGTCCCCTGTAG